ACCCTTCTGAGCCGTGTGTGTGGGGGTCATGGAGGGTCTGGTTGCCACGGACTAAGCAGCCTTGCACCACTATGCCTTTCCACTATGAAGTTTCTCCCTTAAAACCAGCTAATAATGGACTGAATCCTCTGAAACTATGAGCCACATGAACCTCTCCTTTAAGTTGTGAATATCAGGTATTTTCTCCCAGCAATGAAAAAGTTGACCAATATATTTGGCATCGATATAAATGTTGAGAACTTTGAGAACTGTGCAGTCAAGACCTTGATGTTTCTACCTAAAATTTTCTTAGAAATTTTTATTCACATAAAGGTATTTGAGAATATTTATGACTCCTTTTGATTCCATTATTATAGTATTTAGAGATGTACTGCATCCTTGAGTATTTACATTTACAAAACATTAAAACCCTACTGTTATAATCTACTCATTCTTATGTTCTTGGTAGTATTAATACTCTACAGTATTCTGAATATTTTCCATGGTCTTCATTTTGTTTCACTTATTCATGTCTTACTTTCCAATGTGCTTTACATTTTCTGACTTTGAGAAATTTTGCTGTTTTAGGGGAAAATGATGCATAGAACAAAACTATGAATTGTTGCATAGAAGGTAACATGTTTTAAATAAATTTTGCTTTTATGAAATACCACACAAAATACAACATAAGGTAAAAGGTGAATAATATAAAATAGAAATATGTGCTGATGAAAAAGGACATCTAAGATAAAGTGTTAAGAGAAAAAAAAGCAAATTGCAGAATAAAATAAATTATATTTTCATGTGTATATAAAAACAATATAGGTGTATTATGTATATGTTGATATATCTATATCATATGTGATATATATCATTCTATAAGTATTGATATGTCAGTGTATTTAAAATTTCTAGTCTCATACACAAAAACTGCTATCTACAGTTATTGTTGAGAAATATTTGTTTAGCAAAGAAGACTTTCACTTTATTCTTATCTTTTCAATAGTATTTAAACCTTCAAACCAATTATTTATGAAGAAAAATATTTATTAAAATCTTTAAAGTATCTATAACATTTGAACCTAAAATTGCTCTTTTTGGAACCTACTCTAAGGAAATAAATATAAGCTTAAAATAACATGTCAGAAATACTAGCTTAAATACTAATAATGAAAATATGAAAACTATAAATATTTCACAATAGCCAAATAGTTAATACGTAAGAAAACCACAGAATGAAATACCTAGACATTAACCATTTTCATAAAAATTGTATAACAGGGAGAATGATGAAAATATAACAGTAACATATAAAGCAGAAGACATTTCATAAAAATATGACATTGTAGCTGGTTTAGAAGTGAAAATCCTGGCCAAATGTTGAAAGTTATTTTTTTGTGTATACTAAGACTATGAGTAATTATCCAATCTACTTTTTTCTGTTTTGTAAATGTTATTCCATGTCTATGCATTACATGGTTGTAAAAAAAAACATTGAGAAAGAGAATCATCACATATATTAGAGTTTAACAAAGATAAACAGTCTCAAAGCAGGGTGTGGTGGCACACACTTGTAATCCCAGCACTCGGGAGGCTGAGGCAGGAGGATCACTGTGAGTTTGAGACCAGCCTGGGCTACATAGTGAGTTCCAGGTCAGTCTCAACTACATAGTGAGACCCTGTCTCAAAAAAACAAAACAAAACAAAACAAGAAAAAGCAAAGATAAACAGTCTCAGAAGGGACACAGAATACTAAGAGCCATCCTGGGTAACAAAAGCAAAGCAGGAGGTATCACAATCCCAGATCTGAATCTATATTACAAAGCTAATATGATAAAAACAGCATGTTACTGGTACTTTAGTTCCATATGAACCAATGGAACAGAATAAATGAAGCAGAAACAGTCCTTGGCACATTCAGCTATTTCATCTTTGACAAAGGGGCCAAAAACATACATGAATGAAAGAGAATTTATTATTTAACAGATAGTGTTTGGAAACTTAAATACCTACATTCAAAAAATATGTAATCTATACTCATGTATCTTATGTGTACTACATTAAAATAAAAATGGATCAAATGTTTACTGTTGAAACAGAAACAGCTAACTGTGTGGAAGACACAGGTGCAGGAAAGTACTTTCTCAAGAGAACCTCAATGATAATAATGCCAAGAAACAAATGACGTACGGGATCATAACAAATTAAAAAGCTTCTGGGATTCAGCCTTTCCCCAGAAGGACTGGCCGTCATCAAGAAATCACATAACGACCAATGCCGACGAGGTTGCAAGGAAAAAGGAATGCTTCTACACTGCGCGTAGTAATGTAAACTAGTACAACTACTATGGAAATCAGCATGCATATTCCTAAAAATACTAAAACTAGAAATTCAGTTTGGCCCAGCTACTCCTTCTAGCTAACTTACCAGAAGTTTAAATACATCGTATACAGTGACACATGCATTTCCATGTATAGAGCAGCACAATTCGTAATAGCTACATTTCAGAAGTGACACATACATCCCTCGACAGATGAAGGGACAGAGGGACAGATGCATGTGGTATTTAAACACAATGGAGTATGAATCTGCTATAAACAAAGATAAACCTAAGTCATCTGCAGCAAAATGAATGCACTTTGAGACCATAATATTAAATAAAATAAATCACACAAGTTTTTCTCATGGTTTATCTTATATGAGAAACCCAAAATATACATAAAGAACAAAATATACAATACAGGGCAGGAAGTAGGGAGATCTTTTTCACATGGGAAGGAGAACAAACAAAGGAGGGAGGAGAGAGGAAGAGGAGGGAAAGTGGATTAAAAATAATTGAAAAAAATGGAGATAGAACTTTTGCAAATAGGAAGAAAGCCAAGAGATGTGAGGGAAAGGAACAAAACAAGAATTAAGGTGTGTTATACACATGTACTAACTTCTCATGGCAACTGTAATTAGTATGTACTGCAAACATATACTTATCAAAATAAAAATTTTAAACAAGATGCAGTCCCACACGTTCCCATTTAGTTTGAACCCATCCGGATAAAAAGAAATAAAATGTTTTAAAATTACAGATGTCATCAAGTCAAATATGTAGGTTTCCCAATGTATCTGAGCAAAATAATAAACTGAAATGCTTACCATTTTCCTAGCCCAAGGGAAAAAATTACTCTCGTCTAAGAGACATGATAATAATACAACCTCTCTGCTATTGTTATTCTAGCCAGCAATTAAGTACGACTGACATATCATGCGTCCTTCTTTATAAAAGGATGTTTACTTACAGGAGTCTGGGTAAACAATTTAGTTTTTCAGTATAAATTTTGAAATGGTAATGTTTCTATTAATATGGGATGCTAACACCCCTATCTTTGTTTCTTTCTATGCTGTGGATTAAACTCTGGGCCTCACATGTGGGAGGTACGTACTCTAACACTGAACTATACCGCGTGCACACCTTCACCTTTTTAATTAGCAGGTTACCAAATTATGTAAATTTTCCATATTATACAGTATAACCTACCAGAATTGAATAATGAAATTTAAGATCCAAGATTGGACTTATTTTATAAAAGGGTTTCAAATATATCTTTATAAAAATTTTGAATCATTCATGGCAAAGCCCTTTGAAACTGTTGAGAGTCTTTGTGTTATAATTCTAGAGAACAGGTTGACAAACTTTTTTCAGGGAATTTCCAGGGCTTGGGGGCCATTTGAAAACATACAGCACAGAGTCCTTCTCAAACGTATCCTCTATGAAAAGTTGCAAGGAGTCCTTAACCGACTAGAACTTCTCTTCCTTTAGCATTTTGTACTTTCCCTCATTTTAGGCACAGAGAGCTACTGATATCTGCCTAGTTACTGGTGGGCAAAGCCTTCTTCTCAATGTTTTATGGGAAGAACTCACTCTCACACATTCCTTAGTGATCATGGTGCCTCATGCACAGTATAAGATTAATATCAATAGTTGACCAGCCAGCTATTCATCTTCCCCATTCTTAATTCTTGATTCCAGTGGTTTAACAGTAACTGTTAAGGGCCTAAAATAGCCATATACGTTAGAAGAATTCATAAATTTTAAAAACATAGTAGAGTTTCATAGTACAAGATTTTGAAAAGATATTTTTCTCAGAATTAAGAAGGGTGACCTCTGCATTTGAGCTTGTTTTTTGTTGTTTTGTTTTGTTTTGTTCACTGTCCTCTCAAAGGTAAGAAAAGCTTGCAGTCTTCCATGTGCCAGAGATCCTGGGGCATATTTATACTCTTTAGACTTTCCATGTCCAGGGGGACCATCTTGGACATGCAGGAGCCCCAGCTATCATGAAATAATTCAATTGCAGAGAACAGAAAGTGAAGCTTGGAATTTGGTGATTTTTACATTCTTATCTAGATCTAAATTTCAATTACGTGGATACAGTAGGAAATCTTTAGAAACTCTGGAACTCCTCTGCCTGAATTCAAATCCTTGGAAGTCCTGTCATTAGGAACTTGACAGCTAACCTAACTTCTTCAAGGCATATTTTTTTCAATCTGTAGAAAAAATGATGATGACAGAACGTACCTCAAGAGGAAACTGGGCTGTTACAGGAAGCAATGAGTTGATATACATATTCAGACCACCCAGGACATAGCAAGCTATGGATATATAAATGCACAGATAGCTAATAACAACTAGCCTTGCCAGCATTCCTTTTTTAAAAAGCCAAACACACCCTTGCAATCAGACATGCATTTCATTTTATTTGATTCTTGAGATAGAATTACCACAAGCAGGAATTCACAGAAAATAGGAAACAAGGTAAGAATTATCGAGTAATTTAAAAAGTGCAATAGAAGGAAAACAGCAAGCTGAACATACAGGTATGATTATGTGACAAAGGGAGAAATGGAAAACATTGAATCCCCGCATATGATCACAGCTGAGTTTTCTGAGTTTCGGCAGTGTGCAAGGGCCACAATTAGCTTCCATGCATGAGGACAACCGCAAGGCAAGGCCACTCAGCGGCCGTACTTACCACCTCCTTCCACCCCAGGGAGACCCGCCTGTCTGTCTTCCACCTCAGCAGTACTTGCTTCCCTAAGCTGGCTCTTATCCTTTTCCATGTTTTCCTCACAAGCAAGTTTCCTGGACGCCTTAGAGAAATTCTCTGCAAATCCCTGGGTTCCTCTCTCCATTTCTGCATCACGAATGTTCCCACAGCTTTCCTCCGCTGGCAGAGGTTTGGTCTCCACGTTTGCTTTTCTTCGTTCTCCGTCTTCCAGCTCAGTTTCGCAGCGTCCCTCAATGGGAAGGCGCGGTTTTCTCGGCTCATCGCTCTCACGCAGCTCCGGAGAAGCCGGATTTCCGGCACCTGCGTCTGTACTTTGTTCAGCACGTGCTTCTCTGCCCTGCTCCCGAGAGTCGTCCTCACCGTCACTAGAATAGGGGCGACTTCTGGACGAGGCTGAGGAAGCACTTCTAGTATCTATAAAATAAAAAAGTGGCGACATTGTTGCTCTAGAGTAACACATTTAATGGTGGAAAACATGCTAGTAGGTAATCATACCAAAATTTTTTAAAATATAGTTAAACTTGGCCTGATCCCTTTTCCAGTGTATTCCACATAATTGTCATGACAGAGAAAAACATAATTTCTGAACTGTAGAAGACTTTCAACAATAGATCACATTTAACCCAAGAAAAACCCTATTGTTTTGATTTGCTTTTGAAAGCCAGTTTACTGGAAAACCTTTGCGAATATCTGGAATGGCACACAAATATTTAGTAAACTCTTTGCTTTTCTATTACAGCAAGAGTGTGTATTTATGTGTCCTTTTGTATAGCATGAAACTTTAATTTTCATCTGCTGTGATATCTACCACGTAATACACCCTAGGATCTGGTATGGTAAGATTTAAGAATTTACACAGTATACGCATTTAATAAATATTTTAAGTGATGAAAATATGTGTGTTTAGAAGGAGATATTGTTTTACCTCAGGTTCCCCAGAAGCAAGGCATGGGGTGAAGTTTCATGTGCAAGTGATAAATTGAGGTCATGCTTCAGGAGAAACACCTGAGGGAGGTGGAGACAGGCAAGGGAAAGGAAACAGGCAAGGAGCTATCTCAAGCTAGGACTAAACCTCAAGCTCATCCTACAGGGATTTCTGATGTGTAAGTTCTATTAGAAGGGACGGAAGTAAGTTAAGATGCAGCTGGGTTTTCAGACTTTGCATCAGTAAGATATTGACTATGGGCTACACCAAATGGATGTAAATATCCCTACATCTTCTGGCTCCTTGTCCCTGAGGGTGAACTCTAGTAGCCCACGACAGTCCTCTGAAGGGTGCGAGAGCTAGGAACTGGGCACACGATGCCAGTTAAGAAACTGGAGTCATACGTTGAGGTAGTACTAAAGATACACAGTCTAGAAATGTACAGTAGTCAAAAGAGGTTCACATACTACCCAAAAATCTTGAAAAAGTCTCCAGGAATGTGCCATACATGCTGAGTCTCTATAAGGAAGACATGCAGCGTAAAAGTCACTGCATCCGTGGCTGTCGACCACAGAAATAGAAACTTGTTTTTGCTGCTCTAAGCAATAGATTCTTGTCTATAACTGTTTCTTATAGAATATATTTTCTATACATAAGTTCATATATATTTCTATATATTTTTTCAGATATAAATAGCCTGTATTTAAATGCCGCCCACCTCCCTTGTTTCTCTGTGTTCTCTACCACCCATTTTTCTGTTTCTTCTATTCCTGCATGAGAGCTCCACAAGTGGCTATAGCATTTACTGTAGAGTTTATGAAAAGAAATGCCTGTCTTTACCTTTATCCTCTCTCCTCTCTGCTCACTCACCTCTCTCTCCCAGCAGCCCGCCAACCCCCAGCTCTCTATAACAGGTCTTAGTATTCTAAGTATGGTCAAAGAGACATATCAGAGTTCCCACCAAGACTGGAGAGATACTTAACACAAGCAAAAACATACTTTAAAAAAAGCTACTGAGCAAAAGAACCCCTTAGCACAATTCTCAATACCTTGGCAAACACCAAGTGACCACGACTCTTCAAAGAAATCACATACTTTAGCTGCTTATTTTTTTTTTTATTTTCCACTTTATAATCCTAGATGGGATGTTTTTACAGGAAACAAGGAAGATGAAGGAGAGGCGCTCTCTATTTTATTTGTGTCAGTTCAGAAAGCGTAGAGTCCATGGTCTTGCCCTTTTGTAAGCGTTTTATATTTACATTTTGAATAAAGAGAAGCAACCCTTGTTTATTACTGGTTTCATCAATAGTTTTCATTCATTGCACAGTGGGCCAAGACACAATGCTATGCTAGTTCTGAGCTACTGAAAATGTGTACAGCACCAGAAGCTTCTTCGTGACTCCCACTTTTGACTCTTGAGAGTTGTTCACGTGATAAAACATGAGCAGTCCTTTATCTTTCTTTTGTAGATTTATTAATCACATTATATTATTTCAAAAGGCTGGCACGTGCTCTGGTTCACTTTTGAATCAGTCCTTCAGCAAAGAAAGATCAGAAGGACTGGCCTTGAGGTGGCAAGGGCACCTGACCTCCGCTTCAACTCATTTCAGCTTTCCAATTTCTCTCTTACCTCGTGGTATAATTCACTGCCAGTCTCATTTCTTGCTCTCATTTTCATACAGACACTGGAGTAAGATTTTGCTAACAACAAAAAAAAAAGGCTCTAAAAGCTTCAGGGGCCTTATAATGGGATTTTCAAAATGACTTTTATTTATTCCCTTAGAAATGAAACAAATTTTCTATGAAAACATTCATATAAATGAACTCCTCTGGCACACATGTAGATTTGTGTCATTAGAGGGGAAAAACTATGTTGGACATGTTTGGTAAATGTCTCAGCTTCCTACCCAGTTCCATTCGTCTCTCCAGTGTCCCTCCTGGCACCGATACTGAAAGAACTTGCTTTTTTTGCTTATTTTTACTTATTTACTTAATTTTGCAAAACAAGATCTGCACTCAGCACCTGAGGCCTTGACCAAAAGCATTAGGTTCAAAACCACTTTCTACGGTCCGAGGGGGATCTCGAACCTTTCCCTCTCCACATTCAGTCAGCCCCAAATCCTTCCCTTCTCATGTCATTAATAGCTGCTCATTGATGCCTGTTCCTTTTTCACATCACAGCGATCAAAATCCGATTTCACAAAACATGAAACTGGCATAAACAATACTATGCTCTTCTGAAACACAGACCTAGATGTCCCCATTTTGACACAGCCAGTTAGTAGCTTTGAGCTTGTTTATGCTATTTAAATTCTCCAAGCCTCTATTTTCTGGGTAAAATGGAGATGATTCTTCTTGCTCTCCACAAATGAAAAATCACACGAGAAAAAAGTTAACTTAATCAAATCAAAAGATCATTTCTTTATAGCTTGCAGTCTTTTATATTATACATGTAGTACAGGGTCTAAATTTACTTGTTATCCCATCCATTATACATTATATTAAGAGTGATGTCACAGCTTCTACTTATTTAGGAAAAAATAATATTTGATCACACTTATGCATCTACTGTGTACCAAACAGTGAAGTTTTTAATAACATCTCATCCTAGGGAATAATTGTTGCCTTTTTGTTCCAGATTAGGAAAATGAGGTATAAGATATACAATATATTCAGTATCTCTTAGCTATAAAGCAGAAAGTTTAAATTCACTGTTTAGTGCATTAGCATCCTTTTCTTAACTTTACTTTTTGCTTTATTAGCCAGAAACCTATACAGACCTCTCAGTTTAACTGCCAAAAAAAAAAAAATCAAATAGGTAGATTCAATTAAAATTTAGATCACCCTATCAACTAAAAATGTAAATAAGGTTCAAAATGTATAATTGATATTTTTTAATAGAAAAAAAGGTATTGGGCAAATGGGATGGGTATGGGGAAAGGGAAAAAGGAAGAGAAAAATAAGAGAAAGGGAAAAAAATGGAAGCAAAGTCTTTGTAAATAGGGAAGGGTGGAGGGGGTGAAGGGAGGGCAGTGAATGGGGAAAAAATGAGAACCAAGACTCATGTAAAGGTACAAGGTCCCAATGATGAATGTAACTGCACTGTATACCTAAAATGTACCAAGATGGGTATGGGGAAAGGGAAAAAGGAAGAGAAAAATAAGAGAAAGGGAAAAAAATGGAAGCAAAGTCTTTGTAAATAGGGAAGGGTGGAGGGGGTGAAGGGAGGGCAGTGAATGGGGAAAAAATGAGAACCAAGACTCATGTAAAGGTACAAGGTCCCAATGATGAATGTAACTGCACTGTATACCTAAAATGTACCAATATAAAAATATTAAAAATTTTAAAAATGTAAATTGCCCCAATGACATATCATGGGTCCCTATCCAGTGAACCCAATATTCTTCTGAACACTAGTAATAATCAAATCTCTCTTCTTAGTCTAAGTGTTCTGTGCAAAATCTGAATAAATAACACTTCTACTTTCTTCAAATTAGCCATGGCACACAAATTTATATTCCCTCTACTTATATGTGTATTTCTGTCTTGATTATACTCATAAGTTCATGAAAATCTGTTTATATTTTATATCTGATACTGCAGTTGAATCAATATCTTCATGTACAACAATACTTAATTAGGCAAGTGTTTCACACTCAATAAATATTACAGAATGACAATGTGCTTAATGAAAACAGAAATTATTAAATTTCAGGTGAGAACAGTAGCTAGTCATTCATCATAGGAGAGAACAGATGTCCCCACAGAGATAATTGCCACAAATTGAAATGCCTCGATCCATCAATAAGAAAAAAAAATGCATTACTTTGTAAGAATACATATCCACAGGTAAATGCAGATATAATGGGAAGGAAAGAAAACCTAAAGAGAGTGGAACATTTCCTCCATCGGTACCTTTCATTGACCTCCACAAACATTAAAGTGAAGTTGCAGTGTTGGGAACATATCAAATCATGTATCTATTGTGCCACAGAAATCCACACATCGTTTACTGACGCATCCAATCAGCCCTTCATCCACAAGAGTTCTCCGAAAGCCTAGATGGTGCCATGATATACATAAGACAGATTCAAAACTGTAGCAGAATAGCTCTTATAAAAGCATTTTATGTAAACTAAAGGATGGGTCTGCATTTAAATATTCACCTTCAAGTTATGATTTCCTACTTCAATAATCAAAAATAATTGTGGGTCGAGGAGTTCTTGCTCTTAAGGAAAAAAACCTAATCATGCAAACAACCACAGATAAATTTCTGTCCAGCAGCAGCCCAGTCTCCCCATGTTCCTCTCTGACCCAAGAAGCAGGCACGTTACACCAGAGTCTGCAGCTTGGATTCACAGCACATAGAATTTCAACATAGAAAAGAACTCATTCCCAGGAGGTTCTCTTCAGACCCATAGTCGGGCAAGAGTCTTAATTCAGTCAGTGAGATTCTTGATATTCGTATGTCAAATAGTGTTTTTGTGATTCTGAGATTTTAAAAGATTATGAGATCTATTTCTAACAGACTGAAAAACAGCACAAATGAAATTATTTTTCTTACTTGAAAAAAAATGGCTTCAGGTTTTGCCTTCTTAATTTTCTGGGAAAAAAATTCATTTCTCTTCTTTCTCCTCTCTCTTCTCTCTCCTCCCCCTCCTCTTCCTCTCTCTCTCTCTCCCTCCCTCTCCCCCTCCCCTCCCCCTCTCTCTGTTGCTGAGTGTTTACCTCTTTCTCATAGATACCATCGTCCAAACCTTCCCAAAAGGTAAAGCAGTCCATTCCCAGGGACATCAATCTTATACCCTCAATCTCATACCATCCGTGACAAAATATTTTCAACCGGCAAATTAGTGCCTGGGGTTGCCAACACAAATGCAGAGAAAGGAAGCTGTCATTCCCTTTAAATGACCAGAAGTCTCACACATTATCCGTAAAGGAGAGTCCTCTGTTCTCTATGGGCTTCCGGTCCACAGCCCTCCGTCGGTCAGGGCTGCTCAGTGCAGCGTGTTCATCAAAGCGGACTGGCCCGATTGTTAGCGGGCAGTTTAAATGGGTCCAACTTGTCAGGACAGTGACAGTCTGGACGATTGTTTGCCCTCTGGGAACAGGTGCAGTCAGGTTCAAACGAAACACATCCAAATACTAACAGCAAGATCCTTAATCATGTCAATAAAACGGATGTACTGGTGTCTGGGATTCGGCAGTCACAATACGCCTCCTACACTTTTGAGGATGAAATGCTGTCAAGCTTTTCAAAAGAAGGGTTCCAGGGACCCATCGCGCCATTAGCATTTTTAGTACAGGCTACTTATTTGATGGGTGAAACTTCTGCTTCTGATACTTTCAATGGTAAACAAGTGTCTTTTTTAAAATCCAAAGCAGATCATCAAAATAAAAGGATGGAGAACAAGAGCCTAGAGATGAGGGAGGAAAAGCCGTAATAATAACTACTGTACTCAGATTTTCAGATTAATCGCAATGTTATAATGCAAACATCCAGGATGCAAAAGGGCCCTTAAAGAGGATAGCTTGGTGATACTACGGAAATGACAGAACAGAGCTGGTCACTTTCATTTCTGGATCTTAAATTTCTCAGCATTTGGGGACCGGCTATGCTTCTCATTAGTTTTCATCACATATCTATTTAAAACATTATATATTCTGTATTTAAATGGTGCTACTAACTTTACGTCATTTTTCCAATAAAGATCCTAATAATCAAATGGAAGCCATGGCACTCACCAAAACACCTTACAATGCTTGGTGTTAACAGTCAAATAACTTTTAAAATATTTACCAAATGTACTTTCAGAAGTTGGCTCTGCGAGGGATAAGAAGAACATCCACACATGCTTAGCTTTCATGGTAGGATATAGCTGTGTGTTCTTAGCTTGTGAAGTTAACTTGAGGGCAGAATTTAACACACGTGAAACAATGAGTGAGAAATAAATGACAGGACTTCGTAAAACGAAGAGTCGGTGAAAGCTGCTGAAAAAGGATGGAGTCATGGGAGAGGACAGAGATGAGCCAGACCTAAACAAAGGGCCTGCGAATGACGATCACCCAGTGAGAACAAAGGTGAACATGGATAGAATTGGATTCTCTACATTTTATTTTTTTCCTTTTCAAAGCAAAATAAGACAAAAAACAGAAGCTAGACAATACCATCAGATAAAGAGCCCAGCCTGTGAAATGACTAACCTTGAGAAAAGAAAATCATCTTACTGGAGAAAATTAATTTTAGTCAAGAGAACCTTTTCAGATTTTGAAGAAAAATTATCATTTTCTCTAAATGCCGCGCTCTAAAGTTTACCTCTTGCTATGGGTGAGTAATTACAGATCTAAGTGATTAAAGATTTTCCTCCAAGGAAAGTCCAAGTACTGCCTACATCCTTCTCTGTTTGAACATAAAATATCATTCTATTTTAGATCCTTAAAAGCAAAGTGGTTGTGTAGCACAAAAAATAATAACTAGCTAAATATCTAGGGTATACTACAGCTTTATGAAATCAACCACATAATAATTTCTCACCATTATAGATCAAATAAAAATTAAGAGTCTTTTGTGTTTTGAACCAGTTATGTTTATATGCAAACACATTTTTAATACTTCTCCAGACTTAAGTCATTTGGATGATTTCTTTAAAATGATCAACTCAGGTGATACCAATTTTTCATTCAACAATTTTCTCTGCTTCAGAAAAAAATGTAACCATAACTCCAGTATTCACATTCAAGTTGAGAAAAGAACTTATATATTAGGAACATCTAATCTAGGAAACGTAAAATGTAAGAATGTAAAATGTAAGTATTAAGAGAAATTATAGAAAAGGCCTGGTTTAAACATTACAAAATATTTGAATGGCTGATAATTAATCTTAAGTAGTTCTTTCCAACTATACCAAAAATATTAAGATGAAAATAAATAATATAAATAAAATGAATACAAATCTTGTTTTATAAAATTCATGGATAATTAAGTTCAATCTAATTTTTCAAATTATGCTTCACTTTTTACCTTGGCTGTCAGGAAGCCAGGATAAAATTTTTAGTTCAGACACAGTAATAATCCCAAAATTATTTTCTTTTACTCGAAAGAATTTTTTATTGCCTTGTATATGTATGCATGAAATTTTAGATAGGTTTGGCTTCCTTTTTTGAAGAGCAGAGAACTACAAGCCTATCTATATTTGCTCTGTGATAATGATTTGAGGACTTCATTCCTTTTTATATATCTTAATATATTTCCCAAATTCAAAATTTTGCAATTTTATACAAAAAAAACTTTGAGAGGTGAAAAGAATAGAAAAAAATAGACAGCAACAGAAAAAAACCACCAAAATGTCACGTGCTTCTCTAGTTAGAAGCAAATTATAAAAACTAATCATACTCAGACATAAGAGAAGTTTATTATAAATACAGCACATGCCCAAGATATAGCAAGAGATATTTGATGAGCTAAAATCCATAGAAATTTGGCCAAATTCTCCTCTAAGACAGAAAATAAACTGTGATCCTTCTTTCACTGGAAAGAATTTAGATGAATTAAAAACTTTACAAAGCTCTCAAAAGTTAAAACACTGTATACCTCAAACGAAGGTTTCTTTCTCTATCTGAAAGCTCTAAATTTTCTCTATGAACATTTTAAGTCATTTGGGGCTTAAAGATTAAAAGGAAGCCACAAAATCCACCGTGAAACTAATATGACAGCATCCTTTGTTCAATGTAAATTTGAAAAAAGAAAGAAAGCAAAAGGAAAGAAAAAGGAAAAACTAGAACCAAGGCATAAAACTTCAATCTTTAAAAAGTGAATACCAGTTAATTTTCATTTTTTCAAACTCAAAAAATGGTGTGTGTGTGTGTGTGTGTGTGTGTGTGTGTACATAAAAGGGAATTTGGGCTAAAAATAGGACAACTTTGTAACTACACAGAAGATATGTCCCTACACAATGTACCCAACACCCTGATGAAAAACCTTATCAAACTAAGGAAAGAGAAAGGATGAAGGGCTGATTTTGTAATTTGGTTGTGTATAACAAGCTGAAAGGCCAGTACCTGTGCTTAGGCAACCGTACTGTAAACATTCCCTTAAAAGGTTATCTCAATAAAACATATGACGGAAAAGTTGGAGGTGTGCTGGAGAAGGAGCCTCCATCGATGGCTCTGCCATGCAAAACTAAGCAACTTGCCTTGCTCTTCCTCTTCCAATTCGCTGCCAGAGCTTCCCCCATCCACGTGATTCTCATTGCCATCAGCATCCGGTGCCTTCTGTGCTGAAACTTCACTGTCCTTTTCAGAGCCTAAATGAACTTTTCCATCTTCTGAGGGTGACTTTGATATTCCATTCATTTGATCATCGGCCTGTCCTTCTTCATTAGCTTTCGTGTCTTCTTTCTCCTCATCTACTTCAAAATCTTCTTCATACTCTGCAAAAAAGAAAATCTCCACTATAAGAATGAAAATAGAATCCTTGATACTTACCCCATTTCACTTTAATGAGAAGTTTGACTCTATTATCCTCTCTTCGCCAGTCCTTTCTTTGCTGCTTCTTTCTCTCACAATTAATGAACATGGAAAAGTAACAGTAAGTGACCAAAGATTGCAATCAGCTACATATATGAGAGCATAAAAGAAATGAATCTCCAAGTGACAAGGCCGCAACCTAGTAAGAGTTCATTTACAAATGGCCGCCATCATCTACAATGTCCACAATGGAAAAAGAGGAACTTGCCATGAGACAATAAATTAGAAGTAAATTAAAAATGAAGAGAACAGGATCATGATAATGAAAGTTAATCTGGAGACCAAGTGAGGTCATATTTCATGTGAAGAATATTCAAAATATTTGGATATCAAGTTAATGAATAGTGAAGTGGAAATTTTCAATTAATCAAGCCCAAAGGCCCCAACAAGTAGTCCTTGAATAGCTCATTCTTTGAGAAGCAAATGGACATTACAAAGGTATAATGAAGATTCTATACCCAAGCCAGAGACTGCAATCATATATATTATTCTTTCCCACAATGAATAATTACATTCCAAGTATAAAAATTCCTACAAAATAAAATATTCCTGTCACAGCCACAAATTTACTTCATTCCCTACTGGGATGCAACAAATCTGTAGCAGAAAAAGGACATGGTCACATCAGATAAACTCCAGCTGTCCCTTGGGGTTATCATTTTTCACCTTTCATATTTAATTGTTCCCCTTTTTCTTTCAACAAAAACTAAAAATCCTGAAGTGACAACATGCCAGCAAGGGAGAGCAAAAATATCTCATGCAGAACCAATTAAGCAAATAAACAATTATCCTTAAAATAAAAATTACAAGTAAAATAAAGGTTCCCAATTTTGTGGGTTTTAGTTATTAGAAATCCTGGCTTTTCTTCCAATAGTGGGGCCTTTTGGGGATTTATTTGAAAGCAGTCCACCTTGCTGCAATAAAAGAAAGTTAATTTAGAAATATATGTCCTGGGCATTAATGAAGGCTCAGTTGATGCAGAGAAAAAATGAGAAAGATATGAGGAATAGGGAAATTAACACTATAGCAAAGGCAAAAAAAGGGAGAATTTACAAAAACGTTTTCACTAAAGAGCTTTAAATATGTGTAAATAAGGAATGTGAACATCAGCAAAACAAAAATGTAAAAGAAGAAGGTAAAGAATTTGGTTCCTATGACACAAAGCAGAAACACTAATAAAAAGAAAAGAATATTTTGATCCAAGGGATACTGGCAAGACACAACATAGTTCCCCAGTTGGTCCAGTTAACCATCCAACCTTAAGCTTCTCCCAAGAAGCTTCTACGTGAAAGAGAACAACAACAACAAAAAAAAAACCAAACACTACAAGACATCTGCCGTCAAGAAAACTCCAGTTTTTGTTGAGGAAATCAGGTGCAAGGAGAACAAAGGAGTAGTGTGCTCATTTTGTAGTAGTTTTCATACAGGGTCCTCAGTAATGTTAACGTCAATGGTACAGCTCAGTTGCTGCAGATTTTTACATGGGACTCATGATTAATTTTGTGAAGTAGTATCAAGTACATTAGAGCCCCAGCCTGCGATTTCAGTCACCTGTGATCAACTGCAGTATGGGATTATTACATCAAAAATTCCAGCGATTAAACAATTCATAAGTTTTAAATAACTTTTGCTACAGAATACGGTTATACCTCTTCTATTTTAGAATTACTAGTGTTAATCTCTGACTGTGCCTGCTTTATAAATTAAACTTTATTTCAGATATGTGTGTATAGGAAGAAAAATAACACAGTATTTCCAGGGTTGGTTTCTGCATCTGCAGAACGTCTTAGGACACACTCCCTCAGATAAAGCCAGGCTACTGAAAGTGGAAGAGAACCGAAGAAAGGCAGAAGTTCATTTTAGAGAGTTATGGAAGACATAGTAAGAGGAGAAACTGTGGTTATTAGCAGAATACACACAAATATATTATTTTAAAGCATTTTTCTTGATCACAAGATAAGGAACAACACAGACTACGTGGATCGCTGCAGTTCTGTTGGCCATAGAATATTACACATTTGTGAAAGATAGGATTTGGAGTCTGGTCTTCATGTGTCCGACTCTCAGTTAAAATATTTCCTGGGTATGTGACCTTGGACAGCTTACTGAGCATCTTTAAGCTTCAATTTCTTCATCCATAACCTGGTTAGTACAACACTGTGATAATATGAAAAGCAATAATACTTAACACAGTGCTATGAACTGCAAGTGTCTAATAAATACCAGCTCTTAGCTGTAGTCGGGGTTGTGGCTGGGTAGTAGAAGGAAGTGGTCATAAAACAGGAGAAATCACCTGTAGTATGTGCCCCTTTGACAGCAGTGCACTTTCCTTGAGGCACCTGATTAAAATCAGGCAGTACAAGTGTCCACCATTAAGACACAGTTACAGTGTTATTATTAAAATAGAGCATAAAATTGAAAGAGCATGTAGTGAACACCACAGGAAAAAATGTGTTTGTGTTCTAAATTGAAATTCAAAGCTGCCTGGCTTCTTCTATCTTTCCAACCATCACATGCAAACCTCAGCCTTCCAAGAGCCAGGTACCTTCCAATGCCATTGTAGCACCTGTGGGTCACCTACTCAAGCTCTCAGAATGAACAAACCCGTGGGGCGCTTCTGGCATCCTTCCTTTCTGTGATTTATTCTGGCTCCACGTCCCGTTTCTCTTCTAGAGAGTAAACTTCCTTGTTTTCTGGGCCCACTCATCAGATCCAAGTCAACACCAGCTGACATCAGTACTGCAACCTCCACCTTCCTCCCCAACCTCCACTCTGGCTTCCTGCAGCCTGTACCCTTGTACCTGCTCTGCTGACACCATAAAGCCCTGGTGGTGCTGCTGCTTTGAGGAATTTTAACAGAAATTGGCACTTAAAGTTCATTAGCAGCCAACACCAAAGAGAATGCTGTATCATCTGCACAATGACTATGCTTTGTAAGGCTACCATGTTGGTTTCAGGAAAAAGAATGAAGAAAATGAAAGACTTGTATTTGACACGGCTTTAATAAATCTCCATGTCTTACAAGTTAAAACAGAGAAAAACATCCCTGTGTTAATCTCTTTGCAATTGATGTTGCCACCATTATTTTTAAATTCTCAGTCCAAGATAAGAATAAACACTAGGAGGAATCATGGAGAGAGGGAAATTGGACAAAAAGGAGAGAAGTCCTTTTTTAAGATAGCCACATTACTTTGGAAATTAACAAACACATGAAGGCCAGGGCTCTGAGAATTCTGTAATCATTTTCACAGATTTCTGAAACCTTTAGGCAGCAATAAGAACAGGTAAGGAAGAAGATATCGGAAACTAACTTCCACAAGTCGCCAGCCCATGGGCTGTTGTTCCTGTAATCCAGGCTTTGTCTTCTGGGCAGAAGAGGGATAAACAGGCTACCACCCCTGTCTGATTCTTTGGACACATCACCCACAACTATGTGGCATCTGGGAACAGAAGACTGTACGGTGTTTCAAAGCCTGAGATTTGGAAGTGCCTGAACTTCAGGATGTGTCTGAGTAGCTGCTTTCTCTGAGCCTCAGTTTCTCAGGCTGTAAAACAGAGGGAGTTGTGATACCTACATCATGAAATGGTAACAGTATACTGAGATGCGGAAACTCTGTGTGTGTGTGTGTGTGTGTGTGTGTGTGTGTGCGCGTGGACAGAGTGAGGGAGGACAGAAATGAAAGGAGAAAGCAAAAGAAAAGTCCACATAGGTCCCAGGATCCCAAGCCTACATCTATTGCTTTTAGTTGTGGAGTACTCTATCACCATATAACCACATAGATTATACCTGCTTAATACCAAAGCCATTCATCCATTTCAACAAAGCAAGTGCATTTAAAAAAATGAAACAATAGGCAGGATTCTATTTGGTCAAGATGGCCGACTGCTTTGGAAGTCCACAGGACCTCTCTGGCTCACACAGACAAGCCTCTGTCCCCTCCCACGTCCCAGCAACGACCCCCTCCTCTAAGGTGGGCGACCCAGGTGGACTCCACCCAGAACAGCAGACAAAGCAGGTAGGGAGTCCTCCCCCAGAAGAGAGGTCTCTAAAGACCCACTGACTAGAACAGTTCTGAAAACTCTGGATGAATGACAGTCCGTAAACTTAACAGTAGCAACACCCGAGAACCCCACTGCTGATTACCATATTTAAAAGCGTTACCGTGGTCATCTCCCCACACATCGTGTCCCGGTTTTCCTTTACGTTGCATTTCTTGCATAGCAGTTCTCACTTCTCTGACCTCTGGTTTCATTTCTTCCACAGAAAAACTGGCTGAGGCAATTTTGTTCCCCTCTGTCTCAGTTCGTCCTGGAATCCAGTTTGATCTCTTCTTCCTCAGGTTCTGTTCACCCTTCCTTAGATCCTCTCTGTCCTCAGGGCGCTTTTCTTTCCTGGGTTTCACTGAAAATGGCTTTTTGTCAAGGCCCATTGCAATAATGCACCTATGGAAAATATTAACATAAAGGTTGTATTAATCTTTATATGTAACACAGTGCAACCTCACAGCTTTTTAAAACATTTTTCTCCTATTCTAATAAGACGTCATGTGAGAAATGCTGTATTACTAGTATACGTGTTAATTAAAATAAACCACCTTACTGACACTAAGAACTTATAAACACAACATATTAATAATCTTACTCCAATAATTATAAAAAACAAATCATCAACAAGAACTAGGGTCAAATCAAAATGTGTGCCTTGAAGTGTATTTTTAATCTTCTCACGGTCATTTATAGATATATGAGGCAGGAATGAAGAATGCAGTGAATATTTGAAATTTAAAAGTTTATGTAGGAAAAGAGACATGGCCATTAATACTCCTCAAATGTTCCCTCTCGCTTTGAACACACTTATCGCGTCATAATTTTCACTTTCTGAAACAGTTTATGGTTTATTTTTAGAGCCGTTTCGGTCAAATAAAAACATTATGTTGTTCCCTAATCCAGTTTGTTCTCCAGCTCTTGCACTTTGTGACTTCTGACTCTTCCCTAAAGTCGAAATGACCATAAAAGTAAGTGCTTTGAATCAACTCAGGATCTCAAGGCAGCCGCAGCACAACTAAAGATGTTCACAAAATGGAACTTCCAGAACTGCTTCAGAAAGTGGGAAGAAGAATGGGAAAAGTGAGCCTGAAGCAAGGGGAGAATTTGGAGGGGAATTATTGGCAATGTGTCTTTCACTGTGATTTTTTAAAAATACTTAATCACTGTAGTTTTATCATGTCTTATACATATACAAATGTAGGTGCATAATGATACATGCATGGAGAGATAGAAAGATCGATGGATAATAGTGTAAGTCCTTAAATGAGAATTGTTTAATAAAAGAGCATTCGGGCTTAATAGCATAATAATCAGAAGAGGGCTGAGGATGGAGTCCAGGGTCGAATGCTTGTCTGGCATGTGCCAAGTCCTGGATACGACCACCTCTACCGAAAAGAAATCAGAAGACAGATGCCACTCAATCTATGATAATTTATTATTCCAACAACAAAGGTCTTAAACTCCAGATAAACATGATTGATATTTTTAAGAAACATACACTGAAATGTTGTGCTGAATAAATAAATAACTCAGGAGTCTTCACACTTATTTTACTAGAACTGCTATTATTGCTTTTAGAATGGCCTTTAGAAGACTGTACTGCAATCTTCTTGTGATTTTTGCTGGCAATAAGCTTTTGTTTCCCCAAAATGGCAACAATTTGTACAAGTCATAGTGTCATTCCGAGTCAAAACTGGTGAACCAGGCAGATGATCTCGGGGTATCATGACATTTAAAAAGTTTTCATCAGTTATAACAAGAGGAAAGTGAACAGATCGTCCTCTGTAGCTGTCATTTCTCTCAAATTAATATCAAAATGAGAATCCCAATAGTGATGATGTAGACATTACTGTATGTGATTATGACAAGGATCACTTGTGGAACATTCCCTCCATCCCAGTCTCTTTGCCGAGTGCTGTATATCCAGTGTCTTAAGGGCTTCATCACCCCACGAGCCAATAAATTAATAAGGATCACTGCCACTGCACAGATGAAGAAGCTGAGGGAAAAGCTTCCATGGCCTGGTAAAGGTTGGCAAGAGGTTAATGGCAGAGCTGGGTGTCAGATCACCTCACACAGGAGCGTAGTTCTGGAGCAGGGGCAGCCCCTCAGGTGACCAGGCACACAAATGAAGGTCACACCCGAGAAAGTACTAGCACTCTCTCAGCAGACACTAACACAAGCTGCAGAAATTTCCACCAAAGCCTGAAGACAATCCCCAACTTGCAAAAGGCATCTGACACATTTCAGTCTCCGCATCTCTCCTCCCTCCCTGGAATCATCACACCCCACTCTCTCCACACTAGACACCTATGGGGAGCTGAATCTTTTATAGTGCACAGCTAAAAAGGGATCATAGTGCAATCAATACTCATCAGTCCAGGAAATGGAAATAGCACTAAAATCTGAAAATTACCTCGACCTGAATCAAATCCAGTGGCAATTTCTTAAGCTGAAGATCTCACTAAATTTCAGTCTTGAAATAGCACAGGAATTGATTTTAATAAATTCTCCCAACAAACAAATACAAGAACTGAGTTATATCACTTAACATTTCAGTATCTCCTCATAAAACAAAGCTAAAAGGATTTGCACTCAAGCTACCAGGCTATAAAACACAAGATAATAAAAATTTACTCACCTCACCCATATTAAGAATGATAAATATTTCTAGACGGTAATTTTGAGGTGCTTAGCACATAGGTTTCTTTGGAATGAAGGTGTCACGCATCTTCACAGAATATGATTACTAGCCTCGCCTTCTGTTCAAGCTGCGCTCCCCTTTGCCAGAGGCAACCCCAAACCCATTGACTCGGAGCCTCTGATATGCTGTTACTTTTAGTTTATGATGGGACTATGTAAAGGCTTTGATGCCTCCCTGTTGCATGCACAGTCTTTTTATTGCCCATCTGCCGAAGGGAATTGGACAAACAAAGTGACTAACATCTGTGCGCCCCTCGTCACTGACTACCTATTTAACTTCTGAGCACAATTTGAGGCGTTGATTCTGATTACTGAAGCTGAAAGCAGGTTGCCTTCTCCTTGTTTGGGTGATTCTTGTTCCTGTACTCCCCTCTGGCAAGGGAAGATAGGTGATGGACCTGTTCAAACAGATCCAAGACTTGAGGGATGAGGACAGTTATGGAGCCGTCACATTTTGGAAGTGATCACTGTTTTTTTCTTGTTTTCTGATGACCTTAAGCATGCAATTCTTACTCATTTTTAGAAATAGATTTGTCCTTTTACGATAGCCTCCTCCTTCTCTTGGAAGTTTCAGGGATCAGCATTCTTTAATGAAATAAAATTTTATCTTGAATATGCTAGAAGAATTATTGTGCACTCCTTACAGTAACTAGAAGTACCGTTCTGCATAGAACAAAACCAAATGATGTACAACGTCAGTGATCCCAGTCCTCTTAGAAGAGTCCTCAGCTCTCACTGGAATTTCGCAGTGTTGATGACTCCAGGATAAGCAGGATAGCCTCAGCTGGGGCTGGGCAGCCCAGGCCTGCCCACTGCAACCAGCCAGAACTGGCTTTGACCTGCTGTGCGACAGGGAGACACCCAATGACATCACTCTGATCCTGCACAGATTTCATCAGAAGAAAGGTCTTGAAGCTAACAAAATAAAAAACTGGAAACCATTCTCCTTGAAGAACTACGTATTTTAACTGAGAGGAATAGGACCGATTCTTGAACATCGACACCATTTTTATAATACTTAAAAAGTGACAGAAAGAAGCTAGAGGGGACTAAGTGTTGAAATCAGAGAAAAAAAAAATCCCATAGAGCAGCTAAGAGGTGAGGAGTAAGAGAGCAGATGTCATTGTCAGATTTGGGTACTGATGATTAAACCACAGAAAGTGCTCAGGGCTAAAAACTGACACCTTAGATTTGTGCACAACTCCCAAAGAATGCAGTGTGTTTGCACAAGGATGATCATATGTAAGTTTTCCTGGGAGTTAAATAGAAATGGTTAAAGTAAGGAGATGGTATATATGCATTGGAGCTGAAAGGAATTGAGAGCCCTAAACACAGCTGGGCACAGAAGCACAGACCCAGGCCATTTATTCTTCCTTTCTCAGGATGATTCTTTCACACCTGTTCTCTCTCCTAAAATTTTCAAGACCTACTCTTAACCTCAGCTGATGAATGCATTTTTTTGTTTTGTTTTGTTTTTAGAAAAGGGAAACCATCAGCAGAGAACTCCTAGTTGGTCCTAGCACATCCACCACAATCCTACTTCCTCTCTCCCTCCATGGTATCCCAGCATCCACCATTACCATAACAGAATATCTGCCCGCCTGGTAAGGCTTACACCCCCATTTAGGCCCATCTTCTCCAGTCTATTTACGCATAACCTCTACAGAGTTTCCCTCTTTATGTCACACTTCATCAGTCTTTGTTTTTTCCAGGTACTATATCATTACTGTCTATTAACAGAAAAACACGCTATAGTATTCCAGCATAAAAGGTAAAAAGCCTTTTGACCTTATATAGCATCCCCTCCTGCGTTATCACCCATTTACTACTATTTAAAGCAAAACTCTTTTAAAAAGTTGTCTCTATTCTCTGCCTTTTGTTGTTTTCTTCTCAAACTATCCCCTTAAACCCACACAACCAAGGTAACTTCATTATGATAACTTGTCTCAAGGTAACAATAACTAGCACAGCACCAAATCGATGTTCCATCTCCCGTCTTCACCCAATGTAACCTCTTCACACATTGGCCAGTTAATCAATGCTTTATTCTTCAAATGTTTTGTTCATTCCCAACATACCATTCTCCTTCTAATCACTGTCTTTCTTTCTCAGGCTGCCTTCTCCAGACTTCCCTCACCTCCAGGATGGAATGATATATATAGAGAGAGCTCATTGCTCAAACACACTCTGTCTCTGTAGTTACTTCTTAAACTCCCATTTGATCTGATGACTTTAGGTGCCATCTAAGGACACGTCATCCTCAAATTTGTCTTCATCCCAGACTCCTCTCCTGACCTTAGATTCATCTACCCAACTGCCTACTTAACACGACTACCGGAATATCTCACAGATGTCTCAGCCTCGTGAATCCCAGACCCAGACCCCTTCCTTATTCCACCACCACCATCCCACATCGAATTCTTCCACAGTCCATCTTCAGTACATGTGAACAGGATCTCCTGCCAGTACTTCAGGCAAGAAGACGTTGGAGTTCATCTTTCACTTTGCTGTGCGTCTCGTGCCCTGAATCACCCACCAGTAAACGCCATGGGCTTTACCTTCAAAGGACACATAATCACTTCTAACTCCTACCCCATCTCTTCTCTGGATTACAGCAGTTTCCACTTCCCCATTCCCTGATTTATTTTTCCCCATAGGAACCACTCTTGGATCATGATCAAAGCTGCCATACTTTTCAGAATAAAAGTCAAAGTCCTTGAAGTGACCTCAGGACTTCTGCATGGGGTGGCCCCACTGCCCCTCTGACCCCCTCTCCTGTCGCCGTTCCATTCCTCATTCTGGCTCTTGCCAGTGGACTAAGATGCACCACATGTGCTCCTCCCTCTTGCCCTTTTGATATGCTTTTCTCTCCTGGAAAAGCTATTTGGAGGAAAAGACATTTTATTTTTGGTTTCTGTGCAGAAAGTGTCTTCTCAGAGAGGTGTTTCCTCACTGTCCTACATAAGACAACACCGCCTCTGGGGTTTGTCCTCCTCAGTCCCTATAACTCCTTTAATTATTTTATCAGTATGTTATCTTCCTTGTCTTTATTAGAGTAAGTTCCAGAATTGCATGGACTTCTGTTGGTTCATTCTTGCATTCTAGGTTGGCATCTAGTCAATTTTCCAGGAATTCATGCAGGAAAAATAAAAATGACAGAAGACCGGCAGGCAAAACTCCTGATGTCAAACCGAATGTCCAACATGAAAGCTGATAATAAACAGTCTAACTGAAACTTTGTTTTGCCTGAGGTTGAAATGAAGGGGATGGAAATGAAAATTGGGCCACCCCATGATGCAGGCACAACTCTCATATGCACAGGCTGTGTAGCGCCCAGTCACACAAGACAAATGTTTGACACCTGACAAGGTTGGGGTCTAGCTCCAAATCAGTTAGAGCAATGATATTAAAACACCCAAAGAGCAAAGTTCTCTTCATTTCCTTCAGGGGTGAAATTTAAGACAGCACGATAAAGAGGAGAGAAAGTGAGACAGTTTAAAAAGGCCACCTAAATTTACTTATCTCTATTGTAGAATATATCTGGAAATCTGAGTTCTAGCTTATAATTTTAAATACAAATACCCAGGGTTGTAGTGAATAGTGCTTATTCTAGATAGTCTAGGCTCAAATACACAGATTTTTTCTTAACAAATTGCACTGATAAATGCATTAGTGAAAGCACAAGAAAAACGCAGGCAAGCTTGCCCTCTACCCAAGGACAAGTGTTTCCTTACTTGTAGCAAGGAGATGCTCTCTCCACACACACAAACCCGAAGTAGCTTCGCTTGCCTCCGAGTCTGGAGCCTTTCCGATGCTTGTATTCACAGCAGGAGCTCAACCTGTTCACCTGGATCCCATTCAGGAAGAAGGTGAGGCTGAAGGGAAAACCATGGTGCCTTTTGGAAATGAACTGAAAGGTCTCTGGAATTACAAAAACAGGTCCGTGAAAACTACTGACTGTGGACTGACATCATCTTGATTACATTTTTCTTTTATTTTTTTTATTTTTTTTAAGAGGAAAATGGGAACTATATTTGGTAAGTTGATATATGGGAGTGCAGACTGGTGCAACCACTATGGAAACCAATATGGAGATACCTCAAAGAACTTGGACTGGAGGTTCCATTTGACCCAGCCATCCCTCTGCTGGGTATCTTTCCAAGAGAAGTAAAAGAATCATATCACAGAGAAGTATGTGCACCCATGTTTATAGCGGCACAGTTTGTAATAGCTAAAACTTGGAAACAGCTCATTTGCCAATCCGTTGGAAACTGGATAAAGAAGGTGTGGTTTTTCTATAACATGTAATATTACATTTTTCTTTTAGATAAGTACAACATTAGGCACTAGACCATCTTTGGAAGACAACTTTAAGCACCAAGAACCATTCTATTAGGGAACAGGGATTTTGAAAAGGAACAGAAGGAAAACAATGGAAACAAAGTTTTGTAAATGGGAGAGGAAGAAGGGTAGAAGGGAGAGGAGGGGAAGGGGGGAAAAAGGAGTAAGATGTGTTATGTACACGTATAGATTCCCCACTGGGAACGTGATCGTTATGTATGGCAAAAATGTACCAATAAAAATTAAGTTTAAAGACCATTCTATTATTTTTATTTGTGATAAGTACTCCAAGTTTTTACAAAACTCTGATTTATAATAAAATAGTGATTTCTGACATTGCACGAGCACATGTTACTTCCAGGCACTATGCCTGATTACCTTAGGTGTGCTATGTTTCAACAATGACATGAAACAGCAATATGGCGTTGATAATTTCTAGACGAAGAAATTAAGGATTAGGGGAGTCCAGTGACTCACTCACTATGATAGAGTACGGGGTAGAGTTAGTACTAGAATACAAACATACCTTGAAATCCCTTTAAATCTATATGCTATCGGTATTGACAATGTACAGAATGACAAAAACTTGTTATGAAATTAGTACGCATTTTAAAGATTTGTGTTTTTAGTTGTGACTTTAGACATCCTAATAAACATGTGAACGGGGCGGAGGTTTACCATCTCTAAGCCACGTTGGATTATTTGGATTTGAGGCCCTTTTTTTTTTTTTTCCTTCTCCGCCCACCCAAACATCCAAACAGTAAATTAAGAACAATGCCTGCAATTGACAGTTTTTGGTTATTCCAAATCTTCGTGATTCTCTGACAAAACCCTACCCACGGGACCTTGTCCTCTACAGAATGGCTCCGTCTTGCTACTTAGGACTTCCTCTAACAGACTGTTCTGCTTCTACCAGTAAGACAGCAAACAGCTTCCCCTCTCTATGTACACATTTCTTTCCCATCCAGCATGTACTGCAGTGTATTAAAATACGGCTACACATGGAGTTTTCCAACTTCAATATGCAGCAGGATCACCTGAGGGCTTGTTAAAATGAGTATTGCTAAGCCTCACTCCAGAGCTTCTGACTCAGCAGGGCTGGGCTGGAGCTCAAAAGCTTACTTACCTAATGAGCTTCCAGATAACCCTGCTGCTACTGGTCCTGGGAGCCTACTTTGAAAATCCCAATATCTAGATATTTGCCCTGCCATATGTTTTTGAAATCTATGAGAGCTGAAGATGAATTTAACTCATCTTGGTTTCCCCAGAACCCAGAACAATGAGAAAGGAAGTATTCCCAGATAGTACATGGTTCATTATTGTAATCAGTGTATTTCCCCATCATCTAGAAATAGCACAAGTCCCTCACAGTATACCCCTAGAGATGTCTAAATCAGATGTCATTCTAAAGACTCAGACCTATTAAAAAGGCAATCCCATCATTTATACCTTAGTGTTTATGATGTAAAATTAAACAAACTAGGAAAAAAATTGAAAAGTTAGTATTGGGGGATGCTAACATAAAATAGGTTTTGAGGTCCACCTGTTTTGATCAAGTGATTCCTCAAGTCGTGACAAGAAAGTATATAATTATGATGTAAGATTATATAATTATATATCATATTATTACATTATAATACATGATATCAACACATATTAATACTATACATATTCTGTATAAATCATGTATATTCTATAATATATAATTTTATATTAATAATATATAATTATAATGTATATAATACACATAATATATTTAAGAAAGATGTATGTCCATATGTAAACAATTTGACCCAGGGGAATAAATTTGGTTTTCATTTAAAAAGTATAAAAAAAGGGCCAGGGATTTAGCTCAGTGGCACTGCACTTGCCTCGCAAGCGCGAGGTCCTGAGTTCGATCCCTGGTATCAAAAAATTATAAATAAATATGTACCATTATCAAAAAATCAAGGAATTAAACACAATGGACTTAATTTGCACCTCAATAAAACTATTTTCAGAAATGAAAATATTCAGCATACAACAAGGAAAGAAGAAAAACAGCAAATAGGAGGGAGAATATAAGGAAACGCTCCAGTTTGGAGGACAGACAGAGCCATGTGCTACTGGGATAAATTGGATAGAAGTCATCTGAGAAATCTGCAAAGCCTTACCCTCAGTATTGAAAGATGGGTAAAATTTGAATTTAAAAAAGGAAGGAAGAGAGCATTGCAGACAAAGACGGGAATAGTCCGGTCCGAGGATGTGACCGCGATGGAGTTTCTTCGCCAAGGAGTAATGAGAGATGCACCGACACACACAAGGGGACCTCTTTTTGGAAATGCCAAAAAATGGATACAAAAGGAAGCAGGGCTAGGAAAAAGAGATACTTCCTGCATTGCCTTACATGAACCCAAGAGGCCGAAGTTTGTTTTCTTCAAAAGGATAAACATGGCAAATAAGAATATCTGGGAAGAAACAGAACTCTTTATAAGTAACAAAAATATTCAGTGACTTTGTAGGCATATATAGTGGCCAATCAGTTTTTGCTAAGTCTAGCATCTCACTACAAGACCCAGGATGAATTCCTTTGGGAATAAAAGGTAAACCTGTGGCATTCTTAAATAATTTTATTGTTATTTTTAATAAAACAGCAAGATTAACGAACAACTGCCACATTTTAATGAGTTTACTCTTCCAAGAGTATGATAAAGGTCCTTTTCTTAAAGCCGAAATCTTCTAAAAGCCTATTCACATTTCACTGAATCATGCACAGCTCTGATTTGTAAAAAAGGGCAGAGTCTGTTCAGCTTAGCTGAATTGCCAAGATTGCTGAACCTCAAGACAACTCTGAGCCACCCAACTTTACAATATTGAACAATTACTTTCCTGGTCATCGAGGGCAAGCTGAGACAAAATTACTGTATGACAAGATTCAATTATTTAAGTCTCCATTACGTGCTATTATTCAAGACTGTCCGAAGCCACAACAATAAGTCCTAGGATGGATGTGCATGCAAAAATAACACTGAGACAAGGCACAGCCTCCTCCCGTCAGCTTTGGTTTTGCACTCCCTTGGCGGAGTGCACGTTGTCTTCTGAAAAGTCCTTCAGCTGCGACTTACTCTTCTTTTCGTCTGCATCTCCTACACGTTCCAGCAGTCAAATACATGCTATAAGTACATCGTGTTGAATGCAGCGCGATCTAAGACCCAGGACATTTTTCACTGTGGCAATTCCAATTGTAGATTATAACCAACGCCAGTAATCCCCCTACATTAAGAGCTGAATCTAATACTTAAAAAAAATAAGTGTATATATTATTTTGCTATCTTTGCCAAACACCTCTCGCATTATGAAACTGCAGGAAACCGCACTGAGAGGAGCTAGCTGGGCCTGTGCACAACTGAGCCGGGTCCTGCACCTGATCAAGGACCCACTGGGCCCTGCTCTGGTCACGTGACTTTAGGGAGCCACCCTAACCCAGGATTCCTCCCGTCTTCCTCTACTACAAAACGGAAGGAACAAGTTCTGACAGAGTAAATCACATTTCCATGAAATATATAAAATAGGAAAAAAAAAACCATTTTCTAGCATAATTGGGCATCATGTTTTACTTTAAATTAAAAACTAACATTCTAATGTTTACTCATATTTGTCAGGCAGTTTAAAATATGTAATTCCTATGCATGTAGTTATCTTTTTATTTTTAGGGTGTGAAATATTTTTCATTAATAGTCATTCTTTTTCCATGTTTATTCTGATAAATTTCCTTAATGCCTATGTCTATGGCAAGATTTCTCAATATTACTTGTAATTACTTACAATACTATCACTTTCTGAACAGAGTTTCTTAAGCAAGGAAATAATGAATAAAATCCTGTGAACGTGTTCCCTTTTCATTAGTGCCCCACTGCTTGAAATATTGAAGAAAAATGCTACAGTAAATATGTGAAGACCTATATTGGATATAAAAATGATCTCTTATGCTAACAAACACAGATATATGATCGAATGAAAGAAGAAATCTACTAACAGGCCATTTAGCCCAATTGTGTACCTACTTGTTTAGGTGTGATTCTCCCTGGAATTTTCTGGATTTGTGATTTTATTTCAACATGCCTCTAAACAACAAATGGCCAATCTGTTATTTTTCTCTTAGAATAATGTATGATGTAATTCACTGTGGCAAGTCGAATGGTTAACTTGTAATTTGGGGGACAGCCTATTTGTGCAACATTTTAATGATCATCTATCTCTATCCCAAAATTAATCTGTTACCCAGTTAAATCGCTCCAAATTCCTTCTTCTGCAATCTGCAAGAGTAATTGCTGCTTCAGTTTCAATCATGGAGCAGTAAATCTAGATTTACTTTTAGGCAGCTGCTGTATAAAGCCTCGGAGATGTATAATTGCATAAAGTGATCAAAGTCATTTTGATATTATATCAATAACAGTTTATCTATAACATCGACACCAAGCAATTAGAAGAAATCCAACTTTTATGCACACCTTTTTCAAGTAGTTTGCCTTTGTACACACAAAGGTTTTCTCCACCACAGTGCTGCTGATAAACTCTTATTTCATCTCGAAAGTCCGGACCATCATAAGATAGGTGCACATTTTTTCCCAAATAGATCATTGTAATAGCTGCATTACTGTGCAGTGATGTTTTGTAAATCCTTCCTGAATCCTAGAAAAAAAACAGAAAAGAGCCTTATAAACCAATTATCTTCTAATCAGAGTTTTCATTTTCATATGACATCATAACAAGAATAGAAAGGGCTAGTTTTACACAGCAGTTTTCAAACATCTTTACAAAGTGTCAAGTTACATGAAGCACAAAACGTCAAGCCCATTACAAAATAAATGCCTCTAAATGATTCTAACATGTATTAGGACTTTATATTTTTAAATGCTGGGGATTTAGAGAAAGTTTGTCATTTTTTAAGTTTGTGTAATTTGTCTTTCACACAGAGTGAAAATGTCAGTGATACTAGGAGGAGACTACTTTTGGCTATTTTAGCTAGTTCTCAAATAAAAATTCAAAACAAATGAATTTTTTAAAATGTTACTACATCATTTTTTTCCAATCTGAAACAATATTGTCTGTGATATAGCAGCAGTTTTGGGACTTGACTGCTTCAACTTTACCGTTGACAACCTACCCTCCCCTAGTTTTATTTTATCTGACAAGGACATGTGCAGGATCTTTCTTTCTGGGCTCATTCTAAGGGCTAAGGATCATATATGTTATTTGCTTGCAATTGTGAAATGCATATAATTCAATGAAAAAGCAAATTAATATTACAGCTGTGTGCTGTGGTGCACACCTATAATCTCAAGTTCTAGGAGGCAGGAGGATCACAAGTTTGAGTCCAGCCTGGGCAATACAGTGAGAAACTGTCTGAAAATTAAAAAAAAATAATTAAAAAGTAGATGAGAATTATAAAGGCCACAGGTCCCTGGGTACCATAAAACAAACAACCAATATCACTAATGTGATTTTTAATGTAAAAAACATGTGCCTAACAGGCTTTTAAAACTTACCTCGTGAACTTACCTGATACTCTGTTACTGACATGGAAAGAAATGTCGTAGCCCATCTCTCCTAACTTTTATCCCAAGGTGTTTTTGTAACTGTGAATGAACACATGGTTCACTCACCTCTGCTACCAATGTGACCCATAAGATGGTAAACTTTTAGCATTACTCTTTTTAGTTGTAATTCTTTTTTTAGAAATATTTATTTCTATTAGTACATAACGATTTCATTCATTGCAGAGAATGGCGACACGTACATGACGCATCTCATTTCTCTTATTTTTCCCCTTCCCTCCACCCTCCTTTAATATTGCTGGCATTAGATTAATTTATCTTTGCGCAAGGTGACAACAGCCCTATGCAGGGGAGGGAGGGCAGGTCCTCTCTACTCCTTGTGGCCCAGGCAAGCGAGCCAAAGGCGGGACACCCATGATTTAAGAGAGGGGCAGAAATAGGAGAAAGAAAGGAGAGAAATAGGAGTGGATGAGAGGCTGTTGCAGCACTTCCAGGGGGCCCAGTGAAAATACTGCAGATTTCTAGAATCGTGCATAGGGCTGGCTTTACTTTTAATCTTCTTTACTTTTCTAAAAATAAATTTTTAATGAAGTGAAGAATGTAGAGAGACAAACTTTCAGGGGCTCCAAGGAAGTTATTTGAGTTTGGCTTTATTGCATCATTCGTGTGGGGGAAATAAAAAGCTGTTGCAACCACAACAACAAAATTCTGAAGGAATTACAAAGTATTTCCATTCCCAAACCCATCCCTTCCACTTCAGAGGATTTTTTTTTTTAATCCAACTCTATTTTTCTGAAGCAAAAACCAGAGAAAATAAATGTGGTAAAATGAAATTCTGTGCACAACAGTCTGAAAAATATAAATGGTGGGGGGAGAAGTCCAAGATTTAAAATTATTGAAGCAAATCGTCTCGCCTGTGGATTTACAACAGCTCCCAAATAGAGAGATAGTCAGCAGAAATATTTCAGGGACATCAAGAGTCACGAAGACAAATCAGGAAACTGAGTAACGCTTTGCAGATTAGAAACATCTTCCCGCATCCCAGTTGAAAGCAAAACCAGGAAGGCAAGCCCGGTTCTTACTTGCAAAATCATAATCTCATGGTTCCTCTCGCCGTGGGGCTGGCACCTGTGTGTGTAGAGCCCGTACACCAGCCACAGGCCTAAGGCAATTCCAGCTCCCGTGAACACTTAATGAAGTGCCTGATTAAATAAAAGCATCCCTTTTGGTTAAGCAATACTTTCTGAAGCGGCATGGATTTAGCGGAAGCCCTCTGAGCTCCTGGGAGATAAGCACTCTATAAATACAAGGTTATAGTGGGATTAGAGTTGGAGAGATGCTTGCCTCTTATGTGTGAAATGAGAAACTGGAGGGAGAAACTTTTCAAAATAAAATAAATGGCAGCCTTTTACCTTTTTCATTTCTCCTTATTCAATTTTTTTTTTCTGCTGAAGCATATTTCTGATAGTGACATCTCTTGGGTCTATAGTTACTTTATCATTCTGTGTTTCAAAAATATTCTCCAATTATTGCCACCAAGTAAACTTTTCTAGGTTCTAACAGGTGGCCCAAGTGACAGCTCATGGTTAAATACGTGTACTATGGAACAAGCCATTGTTTCTTTCAGTTGACTAAACAGCTTCTATATGTATCATTTAACTGCCAAGTTCATAACGACCTCAGGTCGATGAAACTGTAACAAGGTTTCATGACCCATTCTTCAGCCTCACAATTCTCCATTAAATTTCAGGCATTGACCCAAAACTGGCTTAACTCTTTCTTCTTTCCTTTCCTGGTTGCTTATGACTCCCTTTCTACTCCTCTCCAGATTTCTAAGGCAAACGCAATGAGACAAATGAACAACAGGCCCAAGGAGAGGCTCGCCACTCAGCCATTATATATGTGCAATACTTAACATTTGATTGATGGTCAGAGTTTTCACTGGGATCTTATTATCCCCACCAGACCTGTGCCCAGAGCATATCAAAGAGATTCTGAAGGCGTTAAGTACTGGTTTTCTTTGATAGTGCCGGGTGGCCATTCCTCTCCTTTCATTTAACCAAACCACGGTAAACTGAAGCCGTTATAGTCTTACCTAGACCACTGTAGGACTCTTAGTAGGGTCGGTAGAATTTATTAACCAAACTGGAATGCATTGCTAATTATTATGCACAATAAAAAATTAAAGAAGAAATTTGCAGTGTTCAGGGAATGCTGGTATATATAGTGACCCTACTAATAATCCCCCCACTCCAATCTGATGTCCCTCAAAATCTCCCCACTCCTGGATATAAGAGGGATCTATTATCACTAAGTAGATCAGGTGACCCTTCCTGTTTAAAATCCTTTACCAACTACCAATGTCTATGAGATAAGTTTCAAAAGTCCACAAATATAAAATATACTCTCAGATTCTTACTATTTCTCTATGATTGCAATTTCTTAGGTTACATTTAAAGTTCTAGCAATTGAATATGATTGCTTCAAATATGATAACCTGTTTTAAATCTCCAAACCTCAATACTTATATGAACTACAAGATACTGAAACTATCTCTTTGCATTCCTCTCTCTTTATGCCCCCAGCATCTTGCCAGTGCTGAGATATAGAAGCACCTGGCAACAGACATGGAATAAAAAATTCCACATTTTTCCTTTTGGTGATTCAAAAGCTACAAAAGATTGACTCCATCCTAATTCCAAAGCTTTTTCTATTGAAGTGAAGTAAGTAGCAATCAGAAAGTAAAAATCGATTCACAGCATCCTAGTAAACCAAATACTACCTTCAGTGGCTAGTCTTTCTAAAAGATTGATCCTAAAACCTGGCCATAGAAAGGCAGTTCCCAACCTAACACTAATGGCCGAGAGAGAGAGAAAATTCTGGCTCTAGCTGGAGGAAAAGCATTCCTGCCAAAAGGCTCGGGAAGTAGCTGGTTGAAATAGAAACCTCTTCTCCCCACTCCACTCCCTTGGTTCTTCCTTTCTTTTCTTGGTGTCACCATGTTCTCAGTCTTCTTCCTGCTGTCTCTCTCCTCCTGCCCATTCCTTCTTAATAACCCTTACCTCCTGCTTACTCCTGACTTGCCAGGATTGCTCTGCTCTGGAGGCGACGAAGCTCTAGATTTTGAGACTCCCAAGTTGACACAAGATTGTCCTTCCTCACTGGCTCTTCCTCTGGGTGAGAAGGCTGAGAATCTGACCCTCCCAGTGAAGAATCTACACTTGAATCCACCCGCTGCGGTGATCCCAGAAGCATCCCAGGTCACTCCTTTTCTTACAAGACTTTTTTCCAAAATGCCAGGTGCTCATAAGAGTTTGACGAGCTGGCTCTTTAACTGCTTTTCAAGTCCTGGCTAGTCGTGTGGTTATCAAACAGCTATGATAATTTTAAGCAAAAGCATCATTTAAAAGAAAATATCTGAAATAAATCAAGCCTATTAAAAGATATGTTGAATTACTTTACTTTGAAACCATGTTGTTTTCCTTTTGAATTCTCAAATCTTGGTCCACTGGCAAGAAAATCCAAGAGTGCAAAAGACCAAGACAATGAACTGACTATAATGGAAACTGAAGGATTTGTATTACACAATTGTTCTAGCAAAGGTAATATTTTGTAGTCTTTATTTAACAGTGAGGGAAAGGGATCTATATAGGAAAAAGCATCACTGATTTCCATATTTGCCTATGGATAAAAAGAATAGGAATTTAGTTTTTTTACTGGAATAACAAAATATCTTTTATGAATAAAATGCCTATAAAGATGTTTGTCCAGACGTAAGCCAAATCAGGTACCTGTCTTCAAAATGCAGGAATACAAGTAAGGAATAAGAAAAGTCCGCACACATCTGTACTAGCAGAATGGGGACGTGAGTGAAGGAATGGTATCTTTTTTTTTTTTTCTTTTTGGTGTTTTGAGACAGGGTCTCACTATGTAGCTGAGACTGACCTAGAACTCACTGTGTAGCCCAGGCTGGTCTCGAACTCACAGTGATCCTCCTACCTCAGCCTCCTGAGTGCTGGGTTTAGAGGTGTGCACCACCACATCTGGCTTAGGAACAGTATCTTTTTGAAGACAGGAAAATATGGAATTCTCTGATGAAGGATGCATAGATACACGCTACGGAGTGGGGGCCTC